GAGATGTACCTCCACACCCCTTGAATAAACTTTCGACGGACCTCTTCCACCTGTGACGGTGGGAGTGGTGAACAGAATAAGCGGTAGTATTTTGGGTTTTCCGCGGAAAAGCTGGTAGAAAGTTGGGAGAATTTAGGAAGATGGTAGGTAGGATGGGGAAGGGCGAGTTGTACTAGAGAAGGAAATTCAGAGGAGGATCGTATTTTGCAAAATTTTTCCCCACACCGGCAGGTTACATGCCCTGTTGCTGAATCTGATTCTCAAACTACTCTCCAACCTCAAGCGGGAATGACGACGCCAAGCGGAATTAATTATTATTTTGAAGCAGAAGTGCGGAGCTGCAATATCGTCTTTCATATCTCCTATCTTCCATTTTCTCTCCTATCTTCAACTTTTTCCCATTTTTCCAACCTGCTATCTCACTCAAAAGTTCAAACTCTTTCTACGAACTGACGTACTCTGTATTGGGCGGCAAACTTAGTGTCCGTTGCTGAACGCTAGAGGCTGCTTCTGAGGCCTGTGCGAATTGTACCAGTTTCCACAGAAGTAGCTCGTCCAACTGCACGTCCAAATCGCATAGCTTCACGCGGAAGCACTGAAACAGATCCACTTAGGCAGAAGCAGTAGCTTGTACGTGTGCTCTACGCACCAGATTCTAATCTAAGTGAATCTAATCGTTACACCCTTCCAGTAACAATTTCTTGATACCAAGGGTTCTAATAGAAGGTATTTCAATATATACGTTTCTTGGGGCAGCTGGGCATTGGAGGGGGGGGGGGGCATTGCACTTTCTACTTCCCATCGACGTGTCGACCCATCTAGACAGCCTCTTCTCGAGTTGACAGGTTTTACCATGATGGCTTGACGAGCTTGCTCCAGCTTCACAAGAGTTCACAGGTTTCACCAGAGTGAGACTTGTAAACCGGAACAAGCGAACCAACGAAAGTGCAAAATGACCCCCGTTGCCGAACTGCTCCCGTCTTCCTGTTCCAACAATTTACCGCATTGCATGACACAAGTGATACGGTACAAGAAACAAACAAGGCACTCTACAAGAAGATCTGTACAGTAAACCAAAAACCTACATCAAAGGCATCGTAGTGCTTCATCGGTGTGCAGTTCATTTCCAACTTCAATGCTGGCCTTGCAGTTCCAGATACCTGCAAAATAAAGACCCCTATTGGTACAACGTCCACTAGGAAGTAGTAAACCAATTCTGCACTTGCATAAGGCACAAAACCAGAAATAGTCAAGCCGGTGAAAGCGGCAAAAAACACTCACGCCAGGTGGAAGATCACCATTCGCCCATGGAGAGTGAGAATCGTCATCTGGCATGAGAACTTCCGGTTGACAGTAGAGGACTTGCCATTTATCAGAATTCAAAAGCTGATTGTCAATCTAAACTCTGACGAATAGAAACATAAATATCGCTGTCTTCTAGGAACGAAGACAACAGATTACTTAATTTTCAAAAATATCCTAGTGTAGGACGCGGTGTAGTGGTAAGTGGTGCGCTTAACGCAAGCGCGGTCAAATCACGGACCAGCTCCCGCCCAGGTCAACCAAGCTTTCGATTCTCTGGAGACAGTCAACTGGTACAAGATTCGCCTAGGTGGATGGAAAGCGTTGACATGAACATCGGCTCACCCACGCAAGCTACTGTAATGGCTATTCAATTATCTGCTACGATTCTGAACTGATGAACGCGAAATCCTTTATCCTTAATCGCCTCTAACATTTGCCAAAACCAGTTTCTGATAGAAATTTGCGCACTTCCAATAACTACCCTGAATCTACGACACAAGGGGGAAACAAACAACAGGAAATTTTGAAAGCCAATATAACCAAGGAAAATTTTATTCTGACAGGGGGCATACCTAGGCAGTGGAGCAGCAGTGGTTATCGTTGAAAGTACGTTGGGTCACGCTTCTAAGGGCTAGGATATGTTGTCCACGGCTTTGCACCAGTCAAGGATACCACTGCCGCCTAACTTCTAGCCAAAATCCCCCTGCTTCAAGAGGAGGGCACGTCCAGCGTCTCGTGAAATTTTTTGCAAGATACGACTTCCCCCCAAAATTTCTTCCTCTAGTACGACCCCGCTTTCCCTTCCCCCATCCTACCTACCAACTTTCTAGATGCTGCCTTTTTCCATTCCCTCGGGATTTTCCCAGTTTCTCCGGAAAAAAAACAGCCATCAAGCGTAGAGAGAGAAGGGGGAGGTATATAACGCACCTAGGTCAGGAAAAATGGTGGGAGACAGCAACACAATAACATTTTCCCGAAGGCTGATTTGACCCTTCTTATACTTCCACCGACCCTCCTCGCTGGGAATCCCCAACGTACGATGTGCCTTGTCTAAATGTGACTGCTCACGCTTCAATTGAACTGTACTAATTAACAAGCAGTTTTATTAACTGCTGAACGAAGTTGTTAGATGGAACCTTCATTTACCCAACATTCCGCCATTCTCCACTTCTTCTGGAGCCAAAGGTAATATCAAAAGTGCGGAGTGTAGGTGACGCTGTGTTGATAACGTCAGTGAGGGAGAAGATGATGGGATCTTTATTAGCCCCATTTTTGTCCCTAACAGTTTTGGTAAGACAGCACGCTCCGAATTTTGGGTGGAACCTTCGACCTCTAAAATAGTACTATAAATTTCGCCCAGATGATGTA